GTGTGCCGCTAGCCAGCAGTCATAGTAGAGACAACAGGAATCCACAGCTGAATTTCCATAAACTGTTTTCCCATTTAGTTTTGATCTGACTCAGTTGCACATTGCACCGTGGGTGGCCTGAAGGCAGGACTCTCAGAGCACTTGGACGCAGTCAGCATTGCTTTGTATTCTCATGCCTGCTGGAACTTCAGTCCATTTGCCAAATTCAGTACCAGTCTCGTTGGCAGTTTACAGGGAATAGGGGCAAGTTCATTTGTTTTATTTCCCTACCACCAGGTGGGTCAAGCTATTGATCCAGAATAAGAGAAATGGTTGGATCCAATTTGAATTCTTGTTCTCTGGAGTGGGCAGGAGCTCATGGACGGAAGTGTAATAGCCACAGAGTGATAGGAGGAGGCCCTTGTGTTGACGGAGGCCCATAGGACATGGTTTATAGCATTCAGGGCCAGTGATAAATAGTAATCCTCTTCTAGACCGGATACCTGCATGCCAATTTTCAGCTGGGAACAGATTTACAGAGGCCCAATGGGCTGGGTAAGGGTCCCTCTCCACTGCTGTGAAGAACATGGGAATGGCTTGCTCGAGGGGAGGTGTGTTGCTGGCTAAAGGGTAAATAAGGTTTAAAATCAATCTTGGCTGCTTTGATCTGCAGGACCCAAAAGGCAACAAATGAAAACAGCAGCCATGGCCAGAATGCAAGGAACAGTGGAGCTGATCATTCTTTGAGGCTTACCTCCACTACTCTTGATTTTGGGGAAGAGAACGGTAGAATCCTAGCTTGCAACCTTGAAACCACGGTGGAAATTCTCACACAGAGTTTGAAAACACTTAAAAGCTGCTTTTGAGCAGACAGGTCTGCAGGCTGCATCTTGATCTTCAGGAGAAGGGGGACAGTAGCTGGGAACACCAAGACGAACTAGGTCATATGAACCAGCTTAAGGGAAATGCTATGCTTAGGTAAGATAATATGTATTGACACTTCTATTGTTTTAACCTTTCTCTCTCAGCATGTATCTGTATGGACAAATAGTTGGTTTTGAACAAGGTGTCTGCTGTCCCTGCGGTCATTAGAAGTCCAAACTCAGTTAGACCTGTTGGAGGGAACACCGCTTGAAAACAGGGAGTTCTGTAGCATGGTGATGCAATCTAAAAGTGGGGTGAAATTGTGCGATTGCATTTCAGATCAGTGCAGGTGTGCCTAAATACAGGGGCAGGCCAAAGTTACAGCTTACTTCCTGAGCCATAACACCTGTACGGAGCCACTCTCCTAGATAAGCAAAGAAAATGCAAACCTAAAAAGTCACAAATGACCTCTTGCTAGCCAAACTTAGAAGCAGTACTCCAATCTCAGCTGCCCTAAGTGGTCAGCCACCTTTGACACAGTCAGCCATGCTCCAGTTTTCTTGCAATTTTGTCCTCTTTGGCTTCCATGACTCTGTCCTCTCCTGGTATTCTTCTCTCTCTAATCATGCCTTCAGTGAGTCCTTCAGAGAATCTTCCTCATCTTCTCCTCCCCCCCCCCGCCACCTCCAGCTGGGGGTTCTACAAAGCTCTGTCCACCATCCCCTTCTCTTCTTCTCTGCCCACACCTGATCTCTAGGTAAACACACAAATGCAACTGTCAGCTCTACCTGAGGCGCTCAGAGTGTTTCACAAACACAGCCTTTGTGGGAGGGAGTATAGTTATTCCTATTTGACAAGAGCAACAGAAACACAAAATGATTAGAAGTCTTACTCTAAGGTCACACAGAGCCGGTGGGTGGAGAGCTGAGACTAGCATATAGAAATCCTGACCCCCAACCCCTAAATTGCATGACTACTCAATGTCAGTCAGCTATCTCCCTTCACTATGATAAATCAGGGAGAGTGAGGTCTGCTGACTGAAAGGGCTGCAGCATAAGCCCCACTTTGATGACTCCCAAGCTACAAAGAGTAAGCAGCCTTTCCGGAGAGTCCTTAACAATAAATCAAAATTGAAGGATGGTTAAGGTAACTATCTAAGTCCTGAGTTCAGTTCCCAGCTCTGTCACATTCTGTGTGTGACTTTGGGCAAGATTATTTATAGTCTCCGCCTCAGATCCCCATCTGTAAACTGGGGCTAAGCCTACCACTCTCTGCCTTTAATAATATTATAAAAACTTTCCCACACATGGACTGTTTTTACATCACCAAGCTCCCTGGGTCCCTAGGCACTACCAAAATACAAAGAAAAGACGCTATCTTGATCAAAACACTAAGAACCACGATAAACAAAATCAAGCTGCATTTGTATTTTTTTCCCCCTCCAGTAGTCTCTGCTTTTCTGGGACTTGTTTATTCATTTCAAAGCCTCAGACGACATCTAATCAAGCTGTTAAGAAGAGTCAGATTTGTGGCTGATCTGGCACTTAGGGAGCTGTTAAGCAGTCAAAACCAGTTCTAGTCAGCAATTCAAAAGGAAAAAAAAGAGATGGAAACATGGTTTCTTTATTCTTCACTTCCCACCCTCTATTTTCCTATTAAACTGAAATTGCACCAGGGATGACATAGTAACTTCTCCACTAAGAGACCTTATTAAGTTCTCAGTGGGAATACCTGACTGTTTTCGGCCTATATTGTGTGCGCTCTGATAGTGATCCAAATTATGCTACAGCGTCTGAGGGGAAGCAATGATTTCAGCAGGCTTAAGGAAGGAGGAAAAACGTGATAGCTTCCAGATGAGCATATTATACTAAATTTAACATTCCTTTTGGTACTTAGAATTTCCACTTTTTCCCCTTCCATTTATGTAATTAGAAATCAAGCAGCAGGAAGCCATTCCTATTCCAACCTCAGTTAGGAACATTACAGCCTTACTCCGTAGAGTGAGGCAGGAGATCTGCCCTCACATGGAGCCATTTTGCAAAATTTATTTGGACAGGTTCAAGACCTATTTTTGAACCAATACAATTTAAATTAAAACTACAAACAAAGCCCAATTATGGGTTAGTTATAACACACAAAACACACACACCCACCCAGCCCTGAACGGGGAGGTCTTGGAAAAAAAGAGAACATTAAATCTCAATTGCTAGCTGTCTCTTTCCAGTCCTTACCTCTTTTTAAAACTCAGTTTCTTTCTGCAGATAGAAAGAGGTCAGCACTCTGACAATACATGCTGTTTTGTGAAAAGAACTTAACTCTATGACCCTTACAAAAGCAGTTCATCTAAACTAGTTCAATTTCTCACTCAAGGCCAAGCTGCACAATCAGCTAGCACTTTTCATACACGGGTGTTGGCGGAGAATTTTTTTTAGGGCACCACAACTTTCTTTTGTCATTTACCCAGCCTAATGCTCTCCTCTCTGGCTAAACCCATTAGCTTCCCCATCTATGAGTGCTGCAGCACACAGAGAACTTAAACAAAAAAAACCCCTCTCCAAGCCACAGAGGAGCTGTGGCTCCAAAGTACACAGCTCAAATTAAAAATCGGGGCCAGATAAAACGATTCAAAAATTGGAAAGAAAAAAGTTACTGTTTCCAATAAGCTGTTTTAATGACTGATTAAGCTGCCCAATAAGGGAGAGGAGGAGGTGGAAAAACAAAGACACGCTCTAGCAATGGTGCTGGATGGTCCAATCCTGCTCTGGCACTGAAACGGTTTTATCCAATGAAGCTGTTGCTCTGGGCTAAATCTTCACGGTTGCTCACCTTGGGTACCGCCTGGCATGTTTCTTTGGCAAGTGAGATTTGTACGCAAACCCCTCAAAGGGATGTGGGGGTGGACAATTACTATAGTGCCTATACCAACTCCAGTTACTGTTGCTACTATCATGAAGGAGTTTCTCAAGCCTTTTCTGAACTCTAAGTACCTCCTCAAAGTCCACCCACTTCCTTTTTTGGCAAGGTTTTTAAAAGCATTGTGCAATTTTTATTTTCCATTGTGTGTTCTTTTGGGAGAGAAAGTTATTCTTTCCTCTGCCTGGCTCACCATGGAGCAGAATAAATTTTCAAAAAGGAAATAGATCAAACACAGGCCTGTAACATTAGTGTAAAAGTTACCAGTATAGGAACAAGTCAGGATTATAAAATAAGCCCTATATAAATTCTCCCTTTATCATACAGGATGCCTTGGTGGAGTGGACATACAATATGTGATCTATCACATACACTAAGAGAGGGGCAGGAAGCTCTCCAGTAGCAAGTATTTGCATCTTGAGCTACAAAAGGATAGTTTGCAGCAAATGCCTCAACAAGAAGAGAATAGATCAGAGTTCAGTGAAAGTTAATAGCTGGTACCTCTTCTGGGTGGATGCAAAAGGTAACCTTCCACCAAAGGCCAGCTAGAGGAGAGCAAACGGAGAACAAACAGCGTACTTTTAAAAAAAGGTTGTTGTTTTTTTTTGGGGGGGGGAGGGAAAGAGACGAAAGGCATTTAAACCGTTATTTACCTTAAACTATATGTTAAGCTCCAGTGAAACTGGAGCAATTAATTGACAAAGCATAAAGAGCTGTAAGTACCATCTTTGTCCCATTGCAGATATAACACCTTAGACTTCTCAATACAAAAAAAGATATGGGGTGGGGGGAGAGAGATAAAACTGACAGCATGCATCTCTTGAATTAGTTCACTCTGCAGGGGACAGTTTCAAAGCCTAGCTCACTTCAAGACCCTTTAAAGCTTCAAGAAGCAGCATTAGTTAGTGAGCCAGTAAAACAGTCAGATTTGCACTCTCCAGTGCATCTGTTTGGAGAGGACAAAACTTCGGTCTCAACAGCAATTGTTGTAGGGACAGGACACTGGAATTTGTGTGCCTCCTAAAATCAGCCCAAGCAGCAGGGTGTCCAGCAAGTGATGTGAGGTGGGGATATTTCTGTGAACTGGATTTGGTGGGGGCTGCCTGTCCGAGTGGGAAGGAACACATAACAGCTGTCATTTCACAAGGACTTGAACAGTGGCTTTAACCAGGTGGTCCCAGCTGCTCGTATTACAATGGGAGTCCTCGCTTTCCACTCACACGCAAAGAAGCCAAAACACCAGGGGGGGTCCACTTTTGTTTTATTTATTTCTCAGAAGAGTTCCTCCTGGCCCTTTCCAGAGAGAAAATACAAAACAAGATGCAGAACTTTGTTTCATGTACATAAACTGCTTGTTGGAGTATAAAGAGCAACCGATAAGTGTTTCAGAAGAACGTTGGCTTACTCCAGGGGCACTTCAATATTCCTGAGGAATAACCATGATTTCTCCTTTCGTCCCACTGGGATGTTCTTAAGTCATTAGTCACTGTTCCTGTAAAGCAAGAAGACTCCCATAACATTTTGTATCCTATAGCACCTTCTACCTGAGAAGCTCAAAGCAAGCAGTTTAGCCTATAGCACCCCCATGAGGCAGGTTAGAATTTTTATCCTTATTTGATAGATGGAAAAGCTGAAGCATGGAGAGGTTAAGCAACCACATTCACCCAGGAAGTGTAGAAACAGAACCTAGATCACCCAATTCCTGGTCTCATGCTTTATGCCACAATTAGTAGAACTTTACTGAATACATTCGGGGATACTTTGGGGGGCAGTGTCTAGATTTAAGGGTAGTCTCCTATGCAGGCGTCATTGCACTCCCCATTCATTTTGATAACCCAAAGAATGGATTCAAATGCTGTATAAGAAAGTTAAAACTCAAGTTCTAACATCATTTTCTAGGAAAACAGATGTGTGATAATGCAACAATATTTTCCACCCTGCTAACCACCAGAAGTGAAATAATTTCATTTTAATAACCCTGGAGCTTTTATCCATGACCATACATTCTGGAGAGATTAACCATTAGATGGCTTCATCTCTCCCTTCCCTCCCGCCAACATGCTCAGACTCTTTGTGCCAGGGAAAGCCAACAGAGACCATGCTGGAAACTTTGTCCTCAGCTCTAGCGCCACGCAGGCAGCTGTGCTTCTTCTGTACACTGTCCCTCTGATGACCTCATTCTCAGAGAGACCACCCTTGCTACAGAGCTGAGATTATTCCTTAAAACAAATATAAACCCTTGCCAGGCTAGACTCAAGTCAGCCTTCTATTTCTCAATGTTCTCAGGCTGTTATTTTGCCATAACAAGCATCTTCCAAGGGACAGAGTGTTTCCTAGAGTTTCTGGATTGGGTGTTCACACACCCAGAGTCCTCAAACTGGAGACATTCCATTCCAATTTATTTCTGACCGAAGTCCACAAAAATAAGACGACACCCCACAATGGTTTTATGTTAAACTCTCATGCACTTCTGTGGCAAACACTCCTAGATGGCTCTAGAACGTTACTGGGTTGCATTTGTTTCACTCATATAAGATACCGGGTACTCCATGTTTTTATCCAATATCATCTACTTCTCCAATATAAACGTTTGTTTCATGTAAAGGATTGTGCTCTGCCATTGGCGGTGTTCCATTTCCAGTACATATTCTGAAGCAGGTGGGTTTGCTAGGACTGTAAAAGCCTGTTGAAGGCTAATCCTTCAATACATCCAAGGATGAATGGACTTTATATTCTTGGGGTAAAAACCAGGCAGAAAAACCCTTCCAGGTCGTCTTTATCTATCATGAAGGAGCAAAACACACGCAGGATCATTCCCTCCCCCACCCCCCTTTTTGACAGGTCACTTTTAAAAGTTTTCTGGCAGAAGGTTTTAAGTGAGCACTGATTGTTTTATAAGGTAACTTTACACATGCTCAGGAGCATGCCTCTGCTACCGTGTCATCTCAGTGCTTTCAGTGATATACCCCTTCACAATGTTTTCTGTGCATTGCACAGAAACAATCCCTATTTTATGTTTAATTTCTATGTGATGGAGTGGGGGGGATTTTTACCACCAATGCAAAATCATTCTAAGGTGGTCACATTTTGTGACCATAATCATGCCTAACATCATAAAACTAGATTAAGTTGTACCAGCCACTTTGCTAGTATCAGTATTCACCCAAGCCACTTACAACACAACCCTCTTTAGAGAGGATGGATCCATAGTAACCCTTTTAAATTGTGCCATGTCTAGATTCTAATGATTCCAAATTCATATGATCAAACAGTCTAGAGTTCACTAACACCCTTGAAGACAAAGGAGACTTTAGTGTTTTCATGACTCACAAACTAATAAAGCCCTGATCCTCCCAATCAGATCCACCAGTACAGAACCCTGTGCAGAGCCCCATTGAAGTCAAAGGAGCTACCTACAGGCAATGAAGTCCTCCCCTCATAGATCTGATTGCAAGACAGGGGCCATGCTGTTTATGGTAAGATTAATTTCCCCATATTTTTAACACACTTGTACATGGTGGAAAAACCACCTGCAGCATCTAAGCTGATCCTTTGGAGATCCCAGTGTCCTCAAAAAGAGATGGTGTGTAATAGGTTTAATCATAGAGAAGACAAAAAGAGTACATTACATATTTGAAAGGATCTGAAAAGTTTGACCAAAAAAAGATGCCACACAGAGGAGCTCTCCTCCAGCTGGCGGCAACATATTACTTCTACACTCGTTTTAGACAGGAGCAGGAATATTTAAGCACTGAATGGTGCCTGCATACAGATTTATTTTACTCCAGTACTTACTTTTACAAATTTGCCATGGAGAAGATATGGAGACTGGAAATCATGCTGACAATTGGAATAAGCCATTCCTAATCCCATCCCTGACCCAAATGCAATAGGCCACGTCTTTCCTGTGTGGAAGAGAGAGACAGAGAGAGAGAGAAGCAGGGGGTGGGAGGGTGGGGGGCAGAAGAGGGGAAAAAAAAAAGATATTGAACACAATGCAGTGTCTCTCATTTTAAATTTCAAGCTCGAATGACAACTTCTTATCAAACATAATGCCAGTAAGTGGTAGATTACTGGAAAAACATGCACTGTGCATTTTCAGGTTCTATGTATTCTGAAGTCTCCTAAAAAAAAAAATCTTAGAAAGTTGCGTTAGAAGGCAACAAATGTCATTTAGAGGCTAATGGGAATAAATCCGCTGTACAGTATTTAAAGAAGTCACATTGAAATTGCTAGGGCAGTTTAAGCTGTAGATCTCAAAAGTTCTTTCATGTTGAGTTTGACCCAGAATCTGAAAGTTTGTATGTGTTGTATTTTTGTTGGTGGTGTTTTAAAAAAAAAAAAAAAAAAAAAACCACAACACCACACACGCAAGCATCACCAGTAATAAAAGAATCCTGCAACGGGAATTCAGTTAGCAGAATAGAATCCAGCCTTGTATTGGCTCTGCAGCATTATCAGAAGTTGTAAAAGTTACTGTTAACTCTTTGGAGCGGACACAGGTGTAAGTGTTGATACAGAGCCTAGAAGGGGCCAAAATTCTGACTGGGTCCTTTCACCTCTACCAGAATGACAAACAATACACACAAACAGCAGGTTTACGGAGTAGAAAGGTAGTTATTTCTCTGACAATAATTGCATTTTGAAGAATATTTCATAATTTTTCTTATGGTATGATCTAAGTTCACAGAGCAAACAGAACCTGCCAGTCTGCTGCAGTTTGCATTTTGGAGCCATTTGCCTCTGTGCCTAGGAAGAATGTGAAGTCAGGAACAGCATGCGCTCTACCACCTGTGCTAGAATTGAGGATTATTCGAATATCGAGAAAGTAATTTAAAAAAATAAGTGAAGAGAGTGGAGACTATCTAGAAAAAGCATTAAAACCCTTGCAGGACTGGTTAGGGCTGATGTCTAGACATGTGGCTAATTACTATTTAGATGCAGGGTCTCTCATAATTCCAGAGGTTTGTAATCAGAAGCCTGACTCCAAGCCCAGCCTGAGATGTTTCATATACAGTGACCTTGTTTGATCACAGTTAGAAGTATAGCTAATTTAATTACAACTCATCTATTTGGACAAGTAATGGACTAGTTGGCGTAACATACTAATTAAAATTTACATGCTTCAAATAATTGTGTTTAAGAGGTATACCCAAACAATCTAATATGGCAACAAACAGCTAAGAACATAGGGACACTTACTTTTAAAGAAGATAACTGAGAAAACAATTCCTAATCCAAAACCAGCACCTGCAAAGAGAAAATTGCAATAAGGAGGAAGTTAGACAATAGGCACAAATGGAAATCAATTCCATTCTTTGCTTTAATTACTTGTTCTGGCTCAGGAATGCCATCCCAATCTTTTAGGTTTCTCCACACCTAAAGAGCTGGTAGGTTATAGGCTTGGCAATATTCTTTTTAAAATGCTTTAAAAGTTTGATGTAATCAAATACAGACACATACCTAAGAAACCTCCCATACATATACAAGAGACCACCCTTGACATATCCCCCACTTCTTATTGTTATAGAGTGAATCCTGGTCCCAGCAAAATCTCTGGAAATTTTGTCCCTGACTTCAATTGAATCAGAATTCGCATCATTGTCAGTAGAAGAGAAAGCTCAAGGACACCGTTCCACCTTCGCTGCAAAACCAAATTAGTTTCCTTTTAGGTTTGCAGATTAATATCTTATTGTACTGCAAGTACTTCTTACTACTCTAACTACTTCAATGTGCGTCCTCAGGGCAATAAACTTATGATGCTTCCCATTATTCTATATCTTGCAAAAGAAAGCTCAGGGCTGCTTTTCTTTTACATCCACAGCATTCATTAGCCAGTGTAGTTAAACAGATTGGGAAGGAAGGACACTTGACATCCTAGACATATTTACAATTTTTATTAAAGCGAATGTTTAAAATCAAATTTACGCACGTTAAGAGGTACTGTACCTCTGGGGTCAGGCTTGAGTTATGAGAAGTCATAAATATCGGTTACAAGGTTCACAAGATACATACATAGCACATAACCGGCATAGAGTCAGATTGGGGTGAGGGAGTTTTTAAAGCATCAGTGAATAAGTGGTCTTGGGTATGCCACCCATAGAATGTATTTAGAGTCCAAGTCAGTGTCGTTGTAAGGAATAGGTACATGGGTGGGATGTGTCCCTTGGCTCGTCAGGGGAGAAAGTGGGTTATTTTCCCTGACCAGCGGTCTCGTTTACTCGTCCTACTACTGACGGTGGCCAATGATGTGCTCTGTGTAGAGGTCTCTGAACCACCTGATGGTGTCTGACACCATAAGCGGTCTCATGAACCGGGCGTAGCCCCAACCGACTCCGCACACTCTCAGCACCGGCTCGTTACGGGGCTCCCATGCGCCCAAGGCTCCCATGACCAGGGTGTGGATCTGGACTTACACTGATTGAGTTGTAACAGCTCAGAATTTCTCCATCACCACTTGGGAAATTATTTAGCATGTTTCAGAAAAATGCTTCTGTAACTCAAAGAAAACAATTCTTTTCCCTGGAAGATGACTGTTACAAATTTCGTGAAGAGCTGGGGAAGTGGTCAGTAGACTTTTGTTATTTCAAGAACCATTAAACAAAATAGCTCAAAATTCAAGTTCAATGGGAAAGTTCTGCCTTCAATTACCTTTAGAGGGAACTGCAAAGGTCGAATAGCAAAATTCAGCCACATGTACACTCATTTAGAAAATGAGCAAAGTTTCAAAACACACTTAGAAGTAAAAGAAAGAAAGTGATTGGGCTTGAATTAGTTTTTTAAGCAAAAAACCCACCATTCTTAAAAATTAGTAGATCTCATCATTTACTATTTGCACCTAGAAGGATTATATTGTACTAAAGAATGGCTCCTACTACATGCATCACTGAATAAGGACCACCTTGTACTCTCTCTGCAGGTTGGGACTTAGAATAGCTAAGCAAAATGGCCCCCAGACCTAGCGTGGACCACCATAAAAATCGCATACATCTACAGCCTCTTCTGTGTGGGCTGAGCTCCCTTTTTAGTTTTGTTCCACTCCCCAGGCCAACTTACACTGCCTGCAAAGAACAAATAAGTAACGATAGCTCCCACTCTTTCCATCACTCTTTGCTCCAATAAGCAGCTCTGCACTTCGCTGCCTTAGCGAATAATCTGTGAAGCATCACAAGTGCTTTTATTATAGAAAAACACTGCATTTTAGGAGGGGAGATAATGACTTGGTCTGAACAGAGACAACTGACCTTTGCTCTCAGAGAACTTAAGTTATCCTGTTATAACGAGAGCTAGAAACACGAACGGTTTCTGAAAGCGCTCTTCACTCTACCACAGAGTTTCAACAGAACCAATCATCGCAGAGCTAACTACTTTACCAGGGCATTATGGTTATTACAGGGCAGGATTTCAAAACATGCAACTGCAAGGGAAGACGTTTGATGACAGCTTGCCAAGTGGTCCTGACATCAAACCCCCAGACATCTTAGCAATTGAACATTTCAGAGAACACCAGATTTTCACTCTCCTCAACCATGTGCGGTTTGCATAGCTTAAAAAAAATAATCTGAACTCCTCAGAGCTCTTTAGATGCCTGGTCAGACATTCATGCATTTTCTGCATTGGGGACATTAACAAACACAATACTTACTAGAATCTTGTGTAAACAACCTAACCATTCAGACTGTATATAAAAACTCTGGTCAGTGATGCACAATCTGGGAGATAAATAGTGGGTCGCCATTAGCAATGGCTCATTTATGCCTTTTCCCCAACTGGAGCTTCTCTTCAGTACCTTTGCAATAGCACAGCTGGTGCTGGCTCCAACAGAATGTTTATGCTATTAAGGATAATTACTATCTACAAGTATTCATCAAATGGACGAACTGTTTGGCTTCCTGACCCCGGGCTCCCTCTGACAATGCTTTCCTACCATATGTGGCCATGCTGTCCTTTTGTTTTGGTTTGATTGCTGGACTATAAAATCTGAATCTGAACTGACAGCGATTACTTCAAGAAATCGGACAGACAGCACTAGGCGTTGTTTGAACTGTCCAGCTGAGAAGGGTAGTCATGCAGCGATACTGCTTTATATTTCTTGTCCAAGAGGAATTCTCTCTGCCAATCCAAACAGTTAGGTAATCAATGAGAAATGATTTGCAGAATGACAAATTCTGCATCAGCCACACGCAATGCCCAAGTAATTACTAATGTCACCACATTTCCATGCTATCGGTCAAACCAATATTCCTCTTTGCCACTGGTGTGACAAACCGGTAAGTTTTGAAGGGTGTGATAAGAAAGAATTATATACTTGGGAGACAGGGGAGAAATAAACCCAAAATAATATCAGACTCACCTTTAGGAGTCTTCCATCTTTGTTGGAACCACTAAGATTCCCCTCATTTTTTTCCCCACTCAATCACTGGCCTAAACAGAAACCCACCAATTCTGTTTCTTAGCTGGCTGGTAGGGAAACTATAGAATGAACATACAAAGGCATTGCCTCTGCAAGCAGAGATCAATACGGGGCCAGGAATGGAACCCACATCTTCCCACACTAGGCAGCCAGGCTAAGCCATATTAACATTTTAACACAGAAAGGAAAATATGTTCTGCTAGAGACAGGAACATATCATTCCTACTGAGCTCACTGCTTTGGTGGGAGTGCAGCAGACTAAATAGGTGACCTGGGTTAGGAAGAAACCAAGGAGCTCTAGTTATATGGGCTGCTGAAATTCAAACACGTCACAGTGGTGACAAGCCTGGGTTTCAGGGAAGGGACAGGAGATCTGGTTTAGGACTGCCTCCTGTGGAATGACATAATGTCAATCTTTGAGGCTACTTCCTCCGATCTGTTTCATTTGGAAGAGGAGTAAAATGGCAGCTCACTACTAGAAAATGGAGTAAGAGGTTTGGATTAGCTTGTAGATCTAGGGAGTGAGAGAGGTAGGTGAGGGAAGAAGTCTGTTACGGTTAATGCTTTTTATCATCTCCATGAGGAGGAAGTTTCACAAATATGAAGCTAAAGAGGCAGAATCACGGAGTTTCGCTGCTCCCTGTTCCTAATCCCAAAGGCTGTCAAGCGTCACTCCACTCCCTACTGGGGAATGGACTAGAAACTATGCTGAACTCTCAACTAGAGGGAAATGTTGCAATCAGGAACAGTAAGAAGTGTTCAGATATTCTCCCCATCCACAGAAACCACTATTTACTGTGACCCTGCTTTTTCCTGGCTGGTTTTTGCCAGTAAATATTGGTTTTAAACTTAAAACCAGAAGACTTAGCTACTTTTAAGTTTTTATCCTGCCGGGTTAAGAAACTGTTACTGTGGATAATTTCTCACTCATCATCATCCCACTAGGAAGTAGTTGTGGTTATGTGGTCATTTCCTATGCGTCTCCAAAAAAAAAAAAAAGAGGGGGGTGGACCCTAAGTCATTCTTTCTTGGAAACAAAAGAAAAAAAGTGTGTTTCACTTGAATTCTATCTAAAGTTACACTAGAGATAAACAATGGGAGAGCCTGCTGATGAGTTTTACAGGTTCAAGTTCTCACATGCTCAATTTCCTTTTAAAAAGGCAACATGTTGCTTCAAAGAACCTCCCACCTGATCAGAGACACTAACCCTACAGCTGTTTCCACTAAAGATTGGCACCTCTGGGCCAGGCTTTAAACTTCATAACAATAAAACATGAAGGGTTTATCTTACAATAAAAACAAAACGAACATGGAAAAAGCTAAGGGCTTGATCTGTGCTGGGTTGCTTCTCTCACCTCCCCCACCCCCACCCCGCCACCTTCTTGCACGACAGAGCCTCTTTGGAAGAAAAGGCCACAGGAAAGTGTACAAAGCATTTTTCACCTTCTCTGACAGCTTTAAATGTTTAACTAGAAAAACAGCCTCTTCAGCCCTCTGTCTGTCATTTCAGTTTGAACCTATTTATAGTCAATGCCAACAGGGAACATTAAGATTCTACGTATATCTTTTTATTCTATTCCTGCCTAACAGTAAAGGCTGTTTACGTACAAGCAGATACGGAACTGGAATTAGGTCTCTAAGCCTGGGCTCTGTGTACTTTTTTTTTTTTTTTTTTTTTTTATATAAATACACTTTGGCTCGTGTACTTTCAGAGAGAGATATTATTATACCCAAAATCAATCTAATATACACAAGAGCACATGCCTCATATCCAAGAGGATATCATAAGAGGGTCTCAGATAATCAAAATCTTTGAGACAGACTTATGCCTCAACAG